TCACCATGGAAACAATGAGGAGAACCGTTCTAAATAACAGTCTCCAAAAACCCTCACTCTGGGGGTCAGCGAGAATACTTTAAACTCAGCAGTGAAAGGGTTAAGGAACCGCATACATGAAGATCATCTTTGCTCTTATTATTAAAGATCTGATGTAAATTGGGATTTTTGAAGCACATGTGTTGAAAGCTCTTTGAATTTCCTATTATTATCTGTATGTCCTGTGAGAAATATTTAATAGTCTGTATAGAATTGTGACTTCTGAATCAAAGTTAGTCTTGTTTTTAACCTGTTAAACTGATCTGATCTGATCTGAGAGAGTGAAGAGTGTGTCATTGTTCTCTACAGGTTGAGAGATTGTGGCGTCACAGATGAAGGTTGTGCTGCTCTGGCTTCAGCTCTGAGATCAAACCCCTCACACCTGAGACACCTGAGTCTGTCTCTGAATAAACTAGGAGACTCTGATGTGAAGTTACTCTCTGATCTGAAGGATGATACACATTGTAAACTGCAGACATTAGACTATTGTGAGTGTCTTTTTACTTGAATCTTTAAAGTTCAGTAGCAGGCCTCATATGTGTGTAATTGGATCATATAAGATAATAATTCAGCTCCACTTTAGTTTCTGTATTTCAAACTGTGTTTAATAAGAGTTTAATTCTGTGATGTAACTGATCTATGAATATATGAATATTTTCATCTCTTCCGGTGTCTCTGTGTGTAAGACATGAATAATGTTCCTCATTTACCATCATTAACAATGAGTCAGATTTTGATAAGATGATACATTTACAAGCAAAATGATACGCAATTTACTGACAAATAATACTTTTACAAAACAACGTAGTAGGAATGGAGTGTGAAGGTTTTTAATCTAAAGGACATTAAGAAAATAGATCATGTTTATACACCACCGAAAACCAAGAAAAATCAATGTAAGATTTTCAGTGATGGGCTTATATATCCTGAGCCGTCGAGCTTCTCAGACATAGATTTAATATAGATCATCATAACTGTGTATTTTGAAATTCAGAAATAGTAACTTATTGCTTGTGTATTTTCTCTTTCTGGTAAGACATGTATAAATGACTAAAAATCTAATAATTTAACTCTGTTTACTAGAAATAATACAAGCCCTAACATTTGGTATAATAGTGAAATATGGCCATATTCAGTTTTATATTAAATATTCTTTTCATTTTAGGATTTTATTTAAATTCATAAGTACAAGACAAGTGACTGAAAATGTGTCCTTAATTTCATTTAATAGAACAAATATTTAGTCTCTCCTGACAAAACTAGTTCACTTTCCTTTAGGACAAACTCTTGACATACACACAGTATATACATATATATACTGTACATATTAAATGTTAAACTGCTCCAGAGTAAAGTATACTGTCTGTTTGACCAGAGTTAACAAACAATGAACAGTACATATTTCAGTATTTTTACACTGGAACAACAGAACAAAGTGAACTCTGAAATTCTTAGAAATAAGACATTCTATTTTACAATTCCTAGTTATTAATTATCCAAACCAATAGGAACAAATTCTACAGCAGAACATCAAATATTTTCTGTAATACAAACATACAATCTTCTAACAATGTAGTGTTCACAAACCCTACACCAAATACTCAAGACTATGAAATCTGCAGTTACAGTAGATATTGTGAAGTCTGTGTAAGGTTATGATGTAATGATAAAAGACACAAGCATGTAAGTTTGCTGATCACTGAACATTATTCCCTGCTGTGACTGTAACAGGAGATCAGATACGTCTCCCGCTGTAACGACTGCGGTCTGGTTTGTTCTGGGACGTCAGCTGAGAAATCACAGCATACATGTTACTATAAAGAATTACTGTCCATTGTGTTTTTATCTAATTATGCGTCACTTACTTCTTCTCTTCAGACCCCTGGGTTTGTTACGTTCATGAACGGCAAATCTATTCTGAGCAAGTCTCACAGACAGAGAGTCTCCTCTCCTGAGAGAATCAAACACAGAGCACAGATATTATGATGAAAAACTGCTGAGACTGTGAAAGTGAATCCAGGCAAACACACATCACAGTCAAATCTAAAGAGAAAAGCCTCACTTTATACAGACCATGAGTTGAAAGTGACACTAACATCTTTACTCCTTTACATGCTCCTGTAAGTTACAATCATCTCTGCTCTGACCTGACAGTAAGCAAATGAATTAATGTTAAGTGATAAACAGTTTACCTTGTAGCATTTCTATTTGTCCACTGCAAAATAAGAGCGGCACATAGAGTCTAATGCACAGCATGCACTTCAGGATTTATTTAAAGATTTGGAAATGTGAAAATAATATGTATCTGCTGCAGTGTTTTATAAGCATTTCTGTAAAACTCAGTTTAAAACAACCAACCAAACACACACAGGACTTTAGATTTAGATTAGATGAGCAAAGCTTGTCTGAGAGCACAGCAGATTGCTGAGGCAGGAACGTCAGTAACAGTTTTAAAGTGGGATTAGCAAGAGTCAGCTACCAATTTAACAAAAAACAGAACATTTTTAGGGATTTCTGTAATGCTCAGGCTTTACAGAAATCTAGAGACAAAAAAGCAGGAAAATCTGACCACGCCCCCCCAAAA